GACCACAAATATTTCCATGATTTCCATGCTGGATTCACCAATTTAAATGACATTACATTCGGAAGAGAAGAAACTCAACTACTTGAAAAGGGAGGAAAATACGCCATCACCAAAAGACTAAACCTATCTCAACTGGCAAAAGAATTGGAGACAGCGATCAAAAATGAAGATGACAGAGCGAATATGAAGAGAGACATACAATACCTTCTACAGAGTGAAGAGAACAAATAACTGAGAGACAGGAGGGAGCATAACATTAAGAGGGGAAGACAAGAGGAAAAACACTACGGAATATTAAAAAGAAAATAAGAGAACACGACTTAATAATGACAAACAGAGATAAAAACTCTGGTATGGTCTTGATGAAAAAGAAGAATTTCTGTACTTACTGGACAAGCTAGGACGGCTGTGCATACACTTTGCGGGAAAACGGACTGCATCCCTATTACCAACCAGTACAACAACTTCACCTTTGTGAGTGGTCTGGATACTCTTTCAAGAATTCTTTTTTGTGACGAAGGTACATTTACTAGAGATGGAATCAACAATTTTCATAACGAACATGTGTGGAGATTCGAAACCCCTCATGTTGTTCGAGAAACCCATTTCCAGAGTAGATTCTCCGTAAACGTTTGGGCTGGAATAATTAATAATGTTGTTATTGGACCGCATTTTTTCGACGGAAATTTGAACAGCGAAATGTACCAGGCTTTTTTGGAGAACGATCTACCTCTATTACTTGAGGACATTCCTATTCAAATTAGAAGAACAATGTTCTTTTTACATGACGGTGCTCCCACCCATTATGCCAGAATTGTCACGAATTTCCTCAATGAACAGTATCCAAATCGATGGATAGGTCGTGGTGGTCCCATTGCTTGGCCACCGCGATCTCCGGATCTCACCCCACTAGATTTTTTCATNTCTAGCCGACAGAGCTTGGTATGCAATAGGCCAACCAATGAAATCGTTTGGAGGATCTGTTAAAGATGGCAAAGTAGTTGGTTGGATGGTAATATTATTGCTTTCCAACCAGCGACCAAATGTGGAAATCCAAATGATGCCTCCATCACTATTACGTCCAGCATATCCGCACTCTATTGTTGAGAACAGACCATCAGCAACACAACAACCAAACAAAATAACAGAATGATAGTTTTTACGATTAAAGTTGGTGGATCCGGAATTTCGATATTTCTGAATGCAGATATGTTTACAGTCTATTATGTCTAAACAATTTGGCAACTGCCACACGTATTTGTTATTTGTTTCCATTTTTCCTTATTTGATAATATCATATATGGCTCGGCTCAATCAACACATTCAATACAGCTTTTGTAGTTTCTTCTACAATAATTCCAATGAATGAAACTGAATAATGTAATAAATAAATACATTTTAAAATTGATTGTTTACAGATCCTTAGGTTTCGGTGCATGACGCTTATTAAACGCGTCTATGACGAGTGTTACCGTCTACAGAAGACCTTACGAACGAGCGTCGCAACGCATTACATAAAAAATAGTCTCACATCGTTTATTTGATTTCCAAGAACGTTCCAAAAATTATTAGAAAATTTACAAAATTATATTTAAAAGAATTTTTTAATGATTTTTGTTAATTTGAAACAATTTATAAGATTTTTTATACAAGTTTTAGTTTAATATGTTTTTCTATATTCTTTCCATAATACGATGAACAATAATTGGCCGGTCGTAGCGATATAAAAACACATCTACGTGTATTTCTGTCTCACTTTTCAATAGAAGCCAAACATCGGTATTTTAAGTATGGTAAACCCAAGGTTTATATATAAGAGGTTGTCTAGGTTCGTACGCAATCATACTGCGCATTACGTCACATGTTAACATAATACCGCCAAGCAATTCAAATTAAACAAAGGCATGGAGCACCATATGACCATGAGGTTGCGTGCGCAATCCGTGATCGCCTACGTCACGAAACTCTCCTGCTCTTGCCCCTCGCCCATAAACTAAAATCAAAGTATTGCAGCATAGGAACTAAGACAACCTTTAATAAATAAATCTTGTGGTAAACCGAACACTGTGCGACCTCTACAAATCAGCGTGGGAACTATTCCAATGTTGGATCACTTTTTAGAACCCAAGTAAATTGAACGGCCACCTTAAAGAAACCATTGATTAGTATAAAGAAAATCGTGAAAATGCAAGGAACTGAATAAATAAAATTGTTTTAACAACATTCTATTTCTTTTAATTCCCTATTTGTTTAAAATCACAATTTTTGAATTAGTGGAGTTTTGAACCAACGTTTATTTGAAAAGTAGCGCCATCTATTACTCACGAGCGGAACTATTGTGAAAATTGGGTTGGTTCGAAACTTAACTAATAATAAATTATAAACAAAAATTAGAAATTCAATTTATCTTTTAAAAATAACGTTTTATTTGAACCACACGGTATAATTTTTTCATTAGCCGAATTTCGAACCATCGGTTATTTCAGCTGAGGCGCCATCTATTATTTAGTTACCACACTACTAGTGAAATTTGATTGGTTCGAAACTATGCTAATAAAAAAATTATACCGGGTGTCCCATGCAAAAATTGAAAAAAAGATTTTTCGGGACGATATTTTTTAAAAACGACTTTTTTATTTGTATCACCGGTATAATTTTTTTTATTAGCCGAGTTTCGAACCATCAATTATTTCAAATGTGGCGCCATCTATTATTTAATTACCGAAGTATTAGTAAAATTTGATTGGTTTGAAACTCCGCTACCGAAAAAAGTATACCGGGTGTCTCAAACAAAAATTGAAACTTCGATTTATCGGAGCGATATTTTTCATTTATTTCGGCCACCCGGTATAATTTATTCATAAGCCGAGTTTCGAACCATCGCTTATTTATAAAGTAGCGCCATCTATCAATCACATGCGCAACTAACGACAAAATTGGATTGGTTCGAAACTCGGCTAATGAAAAAATTATACCGGGTGATCCATGCAAAAATTAAAAATCCGATTTTTCGGGACAATATTTTTTAAAAACGTCTTTTTATTTGGATCACCCGGTATAATTTTTTCCTTAGCCAAGTTTCAAACCATCGTTTATTTCTAATGTGGCGCCATCTATTATTTAGTTATCGAACTACTAGTGATACTTGATTGGTTCGAAACTCCGCTAACGAAAAAACTATACCGGGTGTTCCATGCAAAAATTGAAACTTCAATTATTCGGAGCGATATTTTTCTTAAATCGGTCTTTTATTTGAGCCACCCGGTATAATTTTTTCATTAGCCGAGTTTCGAACCATCAATTATTTTGTAAAGTGGCGCCATCTATTATTCACATACGGAACTACTGTCAGAATTGTATTGGTTCGAAACTTGACTAATGAAAAACTTATACCGGGTGGCTCAAACAAAAATTAAAAGCACGATTTTTCGAGACGACTTTTTTTTTAATTGACTTTTTATTTGAACCGCCCGGTATAATTTTTTCATTAGCCGAGTTTCGAACCATCAATTATTTCGTAAAGTGGCGCCATCTATTATTTGATTATAGAACTAATCGAAATTAATTTTGAAATTGGGTTGGTTTGGAACTTGGCTAACAAAAATAATTGTACCATCTCTTATTGAATAGCCGAACTAATGCCAATTAATACTGTTTTACCGGCTTGGTTTGAAACTGGGGTACGGAAAAATTAAAACTAGCAAGTGCGAAAATCAAATTTATATTTATTGCATAAAAAATAAAAGCATAATAGAACTGGAACTATTATTTTGTTTATATTTATGGATATAATATGTCACAATATAGCTTGTAGTCTCAATAGCTGATCTTTCAACCATCACGTTTCCATGGATATCCATATAAGTGGGCACAATATCATTGCTGGATCCTATTTTTGAATTCAAATGGATTAGATTAATAAGAAATGTTGGGGAAAATTATGAACGTTGGACAATGTTGGGTAGATTGTGAAAGGTACGATTTATTAATGTCTTTCAGGTAAAGAATGTTGGACTAGGTTATGAAGATTGTGCAATTTGGGCTAGGTTTATTGTGACGATTATAGATTCCTGTGCTGGTAAAATATTCAAAATTCAATTTGATAATTAACAAAATTTGCTTTATATATTCCGGTATCCTAGCAACGCGATCACTTAATTTATTATAGCCTACTATATAAAATAATGCGTTTCTTTAATCCATATTATCCCAGATCTACAAAAATATGCCAGGTTCTTATAAAATTTACATCCCTTCAGCTTACGTCGTTCAGAAATACAGTAGTGAACAAAAAAAATGTATACGACATTTAGTTTTATATTTTTAGAATTAAATAATATTACCCGGTTCTATACGTAAGACTAAATGAAAACCTTTTTTTGTAACTTTTATTATAGTAATTAATAACTCAACAATAAACACCATACTTGAAACTAAAAGATACATATGAACTTATTACTATTCGGGTGTTATTTCGTGTGAAAATTAGTTGAACATTTATGATGCAAAGCAACACTACATTTTATACATTTCATTGTGGTGTTCTTATAACACAGTGAACATTGACTTTGTTTATTTTGTTTCCCAATGAAATGATTACTGCCATCTAATCGTAGACTATCAGCAACTCTTTTTATGACTGCCAAAGACGATTTAGGCACTGGAATCTTTGTGGGTGATGTTGAGTTTGTTGTATCTTTCAACATAAAGTATGTAGTCACAATGTACCTTGTAAAAGATAAAAGATCGTGGCGATTATTTTTGTATTCTGGAGAAATTTTGTAAAGCTGAAAGGCGTTGTTCACTGAAACATTCAATGGAAACATCAGAAGCTGCCAGTACCATCTTTTCAGCCAAATCGCAACTCTATAACACCCCACATTTTGATCTAAGCGATCAACTCCACCCATATACTTATTATAATTGACGATACAACAGGGTTGGTCGACAGCTTTTTTTTGTTTATTGCAGTATCGCTTTACGGTACCAATAGGTCTGACACCGGACTCGGTGGATGCAACCGTAACGATATTATTATCGTTGCATCGGACCAGTGTTATTCCAGATAATACATCTGTGCATTGATGGTAGCTGCCTCTTCTTTCATTTCTTTCTTATCTTTTAGTGGTGCTTTTTCCACTCTATTTTCTCGAATTGTTCCAGTAACATCATGACCTAATTTCTTTAGTTCGTTCAGCAATGGTAAAGACGTAAAAAAATTATCCATACATAAACTATAGTTAGCTGGAGGTAGTCTGGATAGCAGGTCTAAGACAACTGATCCACCGACACCAAATTCTGGATGAGTGTTTCCGGTGCTTGCTCCTTGATAAAGTTCGCCGTGTATCAAATAACCTAGACTCGTACATATAGACCAAGTTTTATAACCAAACCTTATTGGTTTTCCATGAATATGTTGCTTAGCTCCATGCTTCCCATAGTATGGAATCATTGACTCGTCGATACTCAAGTTTCTATCGCCAGGGTAATATTTCAACCACCTTTTATTCAGCAAATCCCAAAGTGGACGAACTTTTGCAAACCTATCACCTTGAGTAAGATTAGCATTGTCAGCAACGTGAAAATAACGTAATAGTTCTTCAAATCGATTTCGGGACATAAGGGATGAAATTCCTTGATAGTTGCAGTCGATACTTTTCTCCCAATACATCCTGTATCTGGCAACACTGTTATATCCACTCATCAACAGGATTCCAATAAAATGCTTTATTTCAATCGTTGTAACCCTAAATG